CAATGAATGGTCTTTGTCGTCAGTCCACGAATACGTACCAAAATGTTCTTGTGAAGTCAAGGAAGAGAAGCTGTTTCCATCTGCACCGTGTGGAGAAGTAAAACTTTTCAGAATTATTCGAAAACGGATCGATTTGTCCCAAAGTTTGTCTTATAGGTACCGGAGCTTAATTATCTTAAGAGGCTACTTAGTTACAGTGAACATGCGGTTTTAATTTTTGGGTAAGCAAACCCCTCAATGGAGTATTTTTAGGAATTAGCTCTTATTTTGAGTGGCGTTGAGCACAGATAGCTTAACACTTTTTAGTAACCTTATTTTATATACTTCTGAACACTCAAGTGAACTCTTGAAGATTTCACATTGTTTTAATTTATCTAGTAATTAGATGGAAATATCCGTCCTTGTGTGGATGCAATGATTTTTTTTTCAATTCCTTTATCTGTTCGTAACATATTGTCCAATGCGTTCTTATGTTTCTACTTCAAGTATGAAACCTTCAGCAAAAATTCGTATCAAACTTCTGTATCTTCAAGACATAGGAAGTCACTCAGGGCGATGTGTTCTTGCAATCATATTTATTCAAGGCAACACAGTAATTAATGCAAGTTGGAATTCTGTCAGTTCAATAATTCCTAAGTCAAGGTAATGGAAAGGTGATTATAAATGGCTGTCATTGTTGTCAGTAACGCTCAGGGTATCGCGTGTGATTCTGAGAGGGTCCTTTAGAATAGAGTAGTTTCCCGAGTGAGTGGTTTTCAGCATACTGACTGCCCTGGATTACAGTCTACCCTTAATTGCTGTTGTTTTTGAAGTGTTCGTTTCAACGTTACTGGTATTTCTGGAGTTCAAACTTATCTTCCCAAACATCTAATTAAAAGATTCTCTGTTTAATGGCTAGATCCCTCTCTAGCAATATTTTATAAAATTCTGTGAAAATGTTGACGCCGTTTATCACTATGACCTCAAAGTTGATATTAAGTTTCAGTCAACCAGACTATTTATTTAATGGAGGATAATTTCCGAGTAAATTTGTAGGAATGAATGGCTACACATTGACTTACCTTGGAGAGACTTTATTTCTACGAATAAACCGAACTATAAAAATACGAAGATCCTTTACGGTTGTAAACCTGAGTGCAAGGAAAGAAGACAAAAGACCTATGGAATAAGTAGAAGTTCAATCTACGGTTACAAAGTTGAGTGTATGTAGGCGTATATGTGTAATAAGTGGGCCATACCAGAATATGGCCGAGAAGTATGAGTAAGCGCGACCGTCAGATTTGTCACAATGTGATAGTCAAATGGATAGGAGGCTGTTTATCTTAGGAACTTATTTGTTGTCACCGTGACCCTCTTTCATGGTTTATTCATAAGACCAGCCCCCGTAGCTGAAATATGGACAATTATTATTGAATCTTACAATACGCTTCTGCAGCCTATTCTTTGGTTTATCAGACCAAGATAATCAACAACTTAAAAGCAGTTTAACTTTACGGCCAACGGTCACAGTGGAAAACTTCTTATCAAGCAATAAATTACAGTAGTCCTACAAGTTATTGCTGTCAGTCAAATCTTTATGCCTGAACGTAAATCCAGGTTGGATTAAGACACTAATTTTTATGGCCTGAAAAAACTCAGCTTCAAACTGCTCAAAATTCGGAAGAAACCCGATAGATTCTATTAAAACCTATTAAAACTAGAGTTGGGAAATTTCAAGGACAAACATATTTTTACAAGAATTTTCTTGGTTTACCATCTTTCATTAACTCTTCCTGTAGCTCCTCTGGGGGTTTCTGCCGGCCCCAAGCCCGGATAAAGGAGGAGGGTTGGGCATGGGGTTAGCGATTCCATCCCGTAGAAAAAAAATGCTAACCAGAAAAATTCAAACCATTTAAACTTTGCTCTGGGAGTAGAAGGGATAATTATGACGTCTCATGATGAAAGCTGAGTTCCTTCGGTACTCATGAGGCCGATGCACCTTCTGCCAACCATAGCAACACTCTTTATAAGTACATGGAATGCCCGGACATTGTGGGAGACCGGAAGAGTCTTTCAAATTGCCGCAGAAATGAGAAAACACAACATGGAGGTGCTTGGAATCAGTGAAACACATTGGACGCAGTTTGGACAACAATGACTATCTTCAGGGGAACTTCTGTTATACTCCGGTCATGAAGAAGAAAATGCCCCACATACACAAGGAGTTGCATTGATGCTGTCCAGAAAAGAACAAAATGCACATGTTGGATGGGAATCTCATTGACCAAGGATCATCAAAGCTTCCTTCAAAACAAAGAGAGAAGGCATTACAATGAACGTCATCCAATGCCATGCGCCTTCTAACGACTACGATGAAGACGCTAAAGACCAATTCTACGATAGACTGCAGTCGATCTTCGAGAAGTGCCCAACCAAGGACCTGACCATTCTGATGGGAGATTTCAATGCCAAGGTTGGAAAGGACAACACTGGATACGAAGACGTCATGGGACAACATGGACTGGGAGAAAGGAACGAAAATGGTGAGAGATTTGCAAACCTATGTGCCTTCAATAAACTGGTCATAGGTGGCCCTATATTCCCACACAAAAACATACACAAAGCCACATGGATTTGACCGGATCACACTACACAGAATCAAATCGACCATATCTGCATCAATAAAAAGTTCAGGAGGATGATGGAGGATGTGAGAACCAGAAGAAAAGCTGATATAGCATCCGATCATCATTCGCTTGTCGCCGAGATGAAACTAAAACTAAGAAGAACTGGGCAACGGCCCTGACAACATCACAAATGTTTAATACGTCCTTTCTTCGAGATGCTGACAAACTCAACAAATTCAAGGTAGCCATCAGAAACAGGTTCGAGGCCTTTTCATGACCTAATCACTGGAGAGGGAACTACTGTTGATATACTGGATAAGATTGAAGCAAGGAGGAACAAGAAGGCAGCAATCAATATCAGCCGAACAAGAACAGAAAAAGCCAAGGCACGAGTCGAATACATGGAAGTAAACAAGCAAGTGAAGCAACCTTGCTTTACACCGGTCTTTACTTCAAACGAGTCGGTGAGTTGTCCTCCGTGGACGATTTGGCATTTTAGTCCATCATAGGAGTTCCGTATGATATTGACTATCTTCTCAGTCACGCATAGTGTCGAAGATGCCTCCATAGTGTCGTCCTGTCCACGCTATCAAATGCCTTCTCGTAGTCGATGAAGTTGATGTAGAGTGGTGAGTTCCATTCGATTGATTGTTCCACAATGATCCGCAGAGTTGCGATTTGATCTGTGCACGATCTATCCTTACGAAATCCAGCTTGTTGATCTCGAAATTGGGCGTCCACGGAATCCTTCATCCTGTTTAACAATACTCTGTTGAAGACTTTTCCTGGTATTGAGAGAAGAGTGATGCCCCTGTAGTTGTCGCACTTGCTCAGATCACCTTGCTTTGGTATCTTGATCAGAAGTCCTTTTTTCCAGTCTGTTGGTACTTGTTCTTCATACCAAATCTTACTGAAGAGGATGTGGAGTATCTTGGCAGTTGCTGCTACGTTTGCCTTCAGTGCCTCTGCCGGGATGTTGTCTGGTCCCGCTGCTTTGCCGCTCTCGATTTGTCTAATGGCCATGCTGATCTCTTCAATTGTTGGTGGGCCAACATCGATTGGGAGGTCCGTGGGTGCTGCTTCGATGTTGGATGGGTTCAGTGGAGCTGGTTGATTCAAGAGTTCTTTGAAGTGTTCTACTGACCTGTTTCGTTGTTCTTCAGTGTTGGTGATTACTTTGCCTTTCTTGCTTTTCACTGGTCTTTCTGATTTACGGTAATTTCCAGCAAGTTTCTTAGTTGTATCATACGGTTGTCGCATGTTTCCTTCTCTTGCAGCCCTTTCGGACGTCATTACTAAATTTTCCACAGATTTGCGTTTGTCGGTTGACCCTTTCTCTTTCTCCTGGTGATCGACTGGACCATGAAGACGTCAACATCTGGAGGAAAGCATGGGATACAGTGGACAGGCAGGATGCAGCTGGACGATTTAGACTTCACAGATGACCTGGCTCTTATATCACACACGCAACAACAAATGCAGGAGAAAACGACCAGTGTAGCAGCAGTCTCAGCAGCAGTAGGTCTCAATATAAATAAAGGGAAAAGCAAGACTCTCCGATACAATACAACATGCACCAATCGAATTACACTTTGATGGATAAGCTTTGGAGGATGTGGAAACCTTTACATATCTGGGCAGCATAATTGATGAACTCGGTGGATCAGATGCAGATGTGAGGACGAGGATCGGCAAGGCAAGAGAGGCGTATTTACAACTGAAAAACATCTGGAACTCAAAACGATTGTCAACCAACATCAAGATCAGAGTTCCCAATACAAATGTCTAGACGGTTCTAATGTATGCGGCGGAAACCTGGAGAACTGCGAAAGCTATCATCCAGAAGATACAGGTGTTTATTAACAGTTGTCTACTCAAGATACTTTGGATCCGTTGACCAGACACTGTCAGCAACAAATTACTGTGGAAAGTGACGAATCAGATTCCAGAGGAGAAAGAAGCGCTGGAAGTGGATTGGGCACACTTTGAGGAAATCATCCGATTGCGTCACAAGACAAGCCCTCACATGGAATCCTGAAGGCCAAAGGAGAAGAGGAAGACCAAAGAACACATTACGCCGAGAAATAGAGACAGACATGAGAAGAATGAACAGAAGTTGGATAGAACTAGAAAAGAAGGCCCAGGACAGAGTGGGCTGGAGAATGCTGGTGGGTGGCATATGCTCCATTGGGAGCAATAGTAAGTAAGTAACCATTTTTCATTATTTCTATTGTAAAGTAACAGTATCAACTTTAAAAAAATTAGAGACCTTGTGAAACATGTCAGGGATATGATCGAATAAATCCTTTTTTATCTCGTTCTCAAGTTTTAATCACCATTGGAAACCTTCAAGGGGCGTAGATCCTAAGTCTGAACTCGTTTCAGAAGCGCGATAATCGAATGTTTTCCTTGTGTTCGCCTTGTCAGTTTGTACATGGTTTTATTTTCATAATTATTAACTTTGAGAATTATGGTGACTGTAGTTTCTCGAAATGTCATGATCAAAATGGAAGGTAGCTCAGGGATTTCCCCCTCTGTTGATCATAAAGTTCAAGATTCATCTACTCAGAAGCCTAATGGTGATTTAAATCACCGACCTGTGATGGCATGTAATGATACGAACAGATTCGGTCCTCAGAATAATACGTACAATAATTCAAGTGGTTCCATGTCTAAAGCCCTTCCGACGAATAGGTTAGTTACAAAGGTCGGATTTGCAAACTTGCCCAACCAAATACACAGAAAAGCTGTTCGGCGGGGTTTTGTGTTCAATCTTATGATTACTGGAAGCTCTGGACTTGGAAAGTCCACTTTTATTAACTCTTTATTTTGCGCGGACATATACAACACTGATTATCCTGTGAGTAATTATCTTATTCACTTACTTTACACCTGAACTTATAGTGATTGTTAAGTTTTATTTATAATAACATTTATTCCATCACCATTAGATGTCTAGGTTTCACAAGCATAATTAGTTTAATTTCAACTTCATTTTTACTGGAATCTGTAGAGAAATAACTGCATCACAATGGGGCCTTTCTATGGAAGTAGTGAACGAATAAAATGGAAAGTCTCGGCTTTATTTTGATAATTTATCGATGTAGTAAGAATATATTACCCTTTGGTAGTGGGAAAATGTTTGCTAGAACGGATGGGAATAATTAGTACCTGGTATGTCATGCTACTGCTGTCTCATTGGTTAGCTACGGTTTTTAATTCTAACGTTGCTAGTCTAGTCGTCCAGAGGTTATATGGAATCGGGAAATAAAGGTGAAGATTCTCTAAAAAGGTCCCTTGGTAATGTAAATAAAAGTAAATTTATCAACCTAGAGAAAACAGAACAAAGTAATCCATGGTCACCGCTGAATGGTCAGACGTGTTAGCAACAAATTATCGCTGATCTAAAAAAATCTTATCTGAAAAGTGTATTTCTGGATTCTTTGGTTGTAAAGCCCTACTTTCAAAATCTCTTTGTTTTTGTCTTTTAAGAGGTGTTGACGAGAAATCAGTATTCTCAAAGGTTCTATTTAAATGAAATAACTAGCTCGACTAGTCGTTTTTACCACCACATTCAAGAAAAATAGGGTATAACCCTCTAAGTGGCCTAGAAGCAATTAGTATCCCAAGAGATTTAAGAAAAGTGTAGCTTCTGTCTTGTTTTAATCAAAAGTTTCGTAAATTTTAGGTATTTCTATTAGAATGCATTTATATACACATGTTCTGCTGTTTGCTTTACCATGGGAAACGTACTTAACTGTTATTTGTTATACTACATAAAATAAGATTCTGAAGTCTTCAACCCCTGTATTTATGTCATGACAACGAAATGTGATTTTTGGAAATAAAATATATGTGAGTTCTAGCAACTTGATCATAAGTGTCCTCAGAGTATTGTCAGTCTGTAGTTGAACTGTTGATTTGTCGGAAATGATGTTAGAAGTGGGACACTAAAAATTGGTTGATTAGATAGTAAATCTTCACTGGTTGTGATCAGCATAGGAAAAGATTGGTTAATAGTTAGGAATTTCTGGAATAATACTTGACGTCAGCTCGTGATATGTAGACCAAATGTTACAAGCTCATGAAAAACTTTGACCTTTGGTCGAAGTTTCTCTTATACTAACACACATTTTACTTGTAGCTTTTTGAAGTCAATCAAAATTTTGTTTTGTTTTTCTCGCAGCGTGTACTAATTCGCTACTTTAAGGTGAAAAAATCAAGTAACTTGGAGTTTTAAAAATTTGAGTCTTATCAAATGTTGCGTAGTTCTGCATTTTGTAAACGGGACTTTTGTATTCAACTTAGGACACTGTGCACTCAACTGACAGTTGCTATTGTTATTTGCCGATAGAACAAAATGAAAATTTTGAGTTACTCAGTATTTATTTATTAACTCTATGATAGCTATACCTCTGTCCAACGTTTTTGACAAGTGATTTATAGTACTTCTTACTACCCAACGTAATACCTTTCAAATGTATTCCTGACTTTCAGTAGTAAATAGATTGTATTATACCTCTTATTTAGCATAATTTATGGGAATTTACTAGTGTTCCTGTTTTATCACCCCTATCAAAATGTGTAATCACTTTTAAGGGTCCATCAAGACGATCCTATTCTTCTGGAACTTGTGTGGATTCAAGGACGTTTGCATTGAATGAAGCCAACGTTTCTCTCATATTGACCATAATTGATACTCCAGGTTTTGGTAGTGAACTAGATAATTCTTCAAGCTGGAAGCCTCTAGTAAAATATATCGATTCTCGTTTCGAATCTTATCTCCGAGCTGAGCTAAATGTCTCTCGTGTAACAGTCGGGTCTGGAGCAACGTATCAACCAGGCTTACCTAATGACCAACGAGTTCATTTGTGTTTATACTTTATCTCTCCTAATGGGCATGGTTTGCATCAACTAGATATCGAAACACTTAAACAGCTACACAACAGAGTAAGTTAATTCATATCAAAATTTCGGGTTTTAATTCACTTAAAAAGAGTGCTCTCTTTTCGACCATGTCGTTTTATTCGCACTTCATTTTGTTTATTACTGTGTAACTTACTGAGTAAAATATAAACTTTGACTGAAATATAAGCATCAAATGGATGCATCAGAAAACTCATTACTTGCTTCATAATTGTATTTTGGCCTGTGTTTCAAATCGTAATATAAATCGTGACTGAATTTACTAAAGTCGTAACAAAATAGTAGCAACTCTGAACTCATAAGAACTTTTGTTTAAAAATTAACAGATGATTTCACAGTAGTTGGGTGCAGATTTAATGTAAGACATTAAGGAAAAAAACTATATTTGTAAAAATCTCAGCGACAAACTTTAAGTAAATCCAACGTTTTGCTCGGCAATTTGGTCCGAGCTTTTTCAAGGAAATTTGATCTAACATCAAAATTATCGAGATTTTTACAAATAGAATTTTCTCATTAACGTCTTTTGACTGCTTCACTAGTCTTATTAGCTCGTTTATTTCGTAGACTTTATAAAATTACTTAGTAGGTCCTAATGAAATTAAAATTTTGAAAATCTGAGTGCTCATTGAAGGCTGTCTGCTTAGTTTTTTAATCCGTAGTAAACTTATTCTTTGGTAATAATTTTCGCAATAATAAGACCCTTAGTTTAGTTTCGTGATATTAATTTGAAGGTTCGTGCTCTTGGTGATTTTATATAAAATATGTGTTAAAATATGCAGTTTTATCTCAGTTGAAATGTCTGGTAGGCGTAAACCAAACTATATAGTATCGTTGAAAATGTACATTACAAGTAATTTCTTTATGACTAGCATAATCAGATGAGTCACTTATCAGTTTTTACGTAAGTATATATATATTTCACAATCCGTCTGAATAATATCCTCAAGTTCGGTAATTTACTCGCACATTTGATAATTTTTGAAGAACTAAATTCTTTCTGAAGATGTTGTTTTGAAAGTATGTTCGTTACCCGCTTCATTTGTTTTTCACCTAGATAACCACTATTATTATCATCACTATTATTATTATTATTATCCTCATTATAATTGACACATCAAATGAGAAAGAACCGTCTAGGCTAATGAAGGATAGCTATTTCCATAATATTCCTATACTTTTCGTCTTCCGATCTCATTTAACCCTTTCAAACTACATCTATTATGTTTAGCTTCCCATTGCACTGGATATTATGATTACTTGTTTTCTGCTTTTCACTATGCTAAACACTCCTTTTAGTATCCTATAGTAAGATGTTCCGACTCCATCCATTACACATTTGTCCCAGATCATACTAGGCAGCTAACTTTTGTAGTTTTTATGACTAGAAATGATTAAAGTCATCAGGAGTGTCTGTTACACCGTTTAAATTTATCATAAACTACACAAACCTGTAAAATATGCAATAACCACATTTCAGGCAAAAACCATTATCTAGGAAATTCATTTAATTGGCTAAGTTAAATCATCATGGAAACCGTATAGAAAATATTAGTCACCTTATTGTCACTTTTAATTACACCACCTAACTCTATTATTTTTATCAAGTGTCAATTTTATATTCCCTTAAGTGAACTTAATAGCATCAAGTCTGACCTATTTTCCGTACAGGCATAAATGATATTTGTTTTTTTCCTTCTATTGGCTTTTTGTCATCTGTGATATCAATTAGGCGATTTGTCTTCTATTGTGTTATCCTATTTTGTGTACACGCATAATATTATCTACTGAAAGGCGCTGATTACAGACGATTTTTCTAACTTGCATTTAAGTAACATATTATCCTCAATTATTTACAACTGTTGGCACTTATGTTTATGGACACATTTACGAACATTAAAGTTCTAATGTAGTCAGAAGTCTGTATTCCACATGGTTCTGTCAATACTTAAAATATTGATGATTGACCCACCTTAATTAATTCAAATATGTTTGCAAAATCAATTTCATGGATCAAGTGAAGAACTAGCAGTCTGTTAGTATAATTAAATATTTAAACACATTAACGAGATGAAAATTGAACTGAAAAAAGTAGGGCATTCAGGCTTAAACAGAATAAAACCTGACACGTATGAATCGGTTCAAGTTCTAACACAGACAGAGAAACTTGTCATGAAAAATGCTAGAGAAGAGGAATTAGTAACAGTTTCGATAGTAATCGAAAACATCAGATATAAACAATATAATTGAAAATGAAACTGTGAATCCTCTTTTATAAGAATTATACGTATTGGAAGGCGAAGAATGAGTACATCTTACCCAGTGTAACCGGTTCTGAGCCATATAGCCTAACATCTAACACTGATCGTAGTCGTCGTGAGGACCCGAATCTAACAGCCTTCATCTACCAACACGGTTCAGGTCAACATCCAATGACTTTATAGACTGATTCCTCGTCTTGAATTGGGCACCTCTACTTGATTTTCAACTCATCCCTGCACCAGCAAACACCGCGCATCAAGGTCGGCTGTAGTTGGTCATACGTAATACATGCCCTAAATACTTTAGTCGAAGAAGACCCACCACTTTACCAACCGATGTGCTATCTTTACTTCAGCATTACTTATTTGGCAATTCTAAGATACCCGGACAATGCTTCACAGACACCAGTGCTCAAAAGAAATGAATAATATTTGAGACTGTTAAATGGAAAATATGAAGCATTATATTGTTCATAGCCAGAAAATGTTTGTAAAAGATATTTTCAACCACTATTGAACTGTATGTTCCGTTCATGAACACTACCTTATAAACAATTCATTATTATTCTGAACAGTTCCTGTTGTTGTGCATCTTGATTGCAAGTTAGAATATTGGGTCACCTAAAATATACTTTCAATTTTTATCAGTCAGTACTTTATAAGGTTAATTTTAGCAAAACATATAACAATAAGAACAGTAGAGACAAACAACTTATTTGTAACAATTTAATTGCTCACAACGATGTATCATATAAATCCTTACAATAAACAATAACAACACAAATCACTTCAGTATTTAGATTTTTTAAAAAGAACACAATTTTTCTATCAAAGGGATTGATTGTGGCTAGAAGTGGAATTCAGTACATGTGTTTTGTTCTATTTGGGGCTCATCAGTTGAAAATACCCGCATCCAAATGTAAGTGTTGACTCCAGAACTCAAATCATCTACCTTTCGCTCTAAATACCGAGGTACTGATAACACTGGTAACCACAGTCAGTTTCTTCTATAGGAAACTTGTGAAAAAGTGGCTATATCGAGGCAGTCCTCATAAGATGCAAATATACCCACCAGGACGGATCAAAATTAAGTCCATAGCATCAAAAAAGAGGTATTCTGAACCCATCCTGATAATGACATAAACAATACAGCTTTTTTCACTGTATAGTCGATCCTGGTTTTTGTTTACTTCGGCTTATTCAGTAGGTGCATACGCAAATAAAGGTAGGCGTAAAAGTGTTGCAGTTTTTTGGTTCATTGCCAGTTTAAGCTTATATCTTGTCCTTGTGTCTTAATCAATCGGCCTAAGCTAAAGATTAGTCTACGTTTCTGTTCGGTAGTACTTTTAAAGGTCAAAATATATCGTACATGTTTATGTAAAGTTAAGCGGATGAAGAAATATCGATATAATGACTACATATAAACATGTAACATTGATTAAAGTATGTTTATGGAATAAATTAAAATTTATTAATGTTTTTATGCAAATATATTCGGTGCATACACGTAATCTGTGCATATTGGATAAAGTCAATGTTATAAGTGTGTGCATGGAAATAACTGAGTGAATAATTCTGGCCTAAGGTTATACTAAAAAAACTAATGAAAAGGTGACTTTCTTGCTCCTGTTGACATTCATCAGATCTCGTATTTTATGCACTGCTTCATATTACTAGTATATCTGGCCATACTTTTTTTGTTAAGCAGTACACATTATATATCCTTGTGACTTTAGCACCTAGTTAGTGTACAATCTTAGTTAATATAAGAGTAGGCAAGCAAAAGACTATGAATAACCAGATAGGGAGTAACATTTGTCCTTTAAGTGATTGACTATTGGTTTCAACAATGTTAGAGTGTGAAAGCTTCTTGGTTATAGGATTCATGAGATATTCGTAATCAATGGTTGAAAACTCAGTGTGACATTACTTCTACTAAATTTTGAGTTTACATATTATTTAACACTTCTTGGTTTTATTTGTTTTTGTCTGTATTCATTTATGATGTTTAGCCTTTATTTTACTGTCGTTTATACTGTTATTATTTTGACTCAACTTTTATGTTATTAATTCCCTCTCACCAATGGTTAAGTGAAGTATGGTTTCTTGGGTTGATGAACATTGATACCGCGTACTGTGTTGTTTATAACAGGTTAACATAGATAACTAGTTTCAAACCGTTTTATCACAATCTGATTTGTGCAGTTGGTATGATTTAAATATGATTGAATAATATTTTACGTGATTATTGAACCATATTCACACTTTAATCCTCTAGCTTCGATTTCTGACCCATACCTAATACGCTGAGGAGGAGTGATACCGTTTATTTGTACAAGCTGAGTGGTTTATTAGAATAATAGAGTCAAATCAAAATATTGATACTAGGTGGTTGGTGGTATTAGTTGATAGGAAACCATGAACCTAGGTTTCGTGCTGGTCGGTATTCGTCGTTAAGGTATTTTTGCAATTTTAATATCTAATGCGGAACCCTCAAAAATTATAAGTTGAATTATTATAACATCTATTCGTAACTTGTGATATCCCAATGATATTACAAATATATTATTTAATTATGATTAACAAGTGTTCAAACTATCCCGTGGTTTAGTATTCAAATTAAATCGATATAGCAAATTTGTCACGCTTCATAGAATTGAAGGATTGTGGCCGGTAATGAGTTCATTGTTAATGTTATGGTCTACAATTGGTCAGTCATTTTTGACAGGTACGTTCAACTAACAAATCCTAGATAGGATGAGTTTCACGTCCTCGATCCCACTGCTATACTTTATCCAACCTTGTTTAAAATATCTCTGCATTATTCATTATATCGAAGTCTTGGGTACCACTGAAGAAAACAATTCATTTTTATTGTTCTCTTACAATTTTGATTCTCAGAATCAATTGGGTATCTTCAAATTACTTTAATTCACTTCAGTTTAACTATGCGTAAGTAAGAAAACGAAAGTATCAGATTTATTCACTGGAGTTATTTTAGCATGATATCTGTTATGGATTTAAAATTGAATCTTATGCAACCTAAGTGAAATTGTTTTATGGTGCAAATCATTCAACCCTAACATAAAAAGTAAACTATGGGACAAAAGTCTTTGACTCAAACACACCACCTCAACCTAAATCTCTTAAATTGCTAATTAAATATGTATTACGAAGCTACAATATAACAAGCGCTGATTAACTTACTGAGCTAATGACTTCTGTGCAAAAAGTCAAGAAAGAAACTTTTCTTGTCCCGCTTCCTCTAAAATCTAATTCTGTGAATACGTGCTTTTTAACTGACCTTTACATTCTAGTTGGCAATTTTTTCAACTAAAAATAATATCAATAATGATTATTATCATCAATTTGTATTTTTAGGTAAACGTAGTCATTATTATTGGTAAAGCGGATAGTCTTACACCAGATGAATGCTCTCAATTTAAACAAACAATACTACAAGAGTTACACAATCACAATATTAAATTATACGATTTCCCTGAATCGGTTGCTAAATTAGGCGGTGCTGAAGAATCGTATTCAATCAATGAAATTCGTCAGGCTCGAGGACGTCAGCCATTTGCAGTGGCTACCAGTAATAATCTTGTTACTCTACCGGATGGAAGGAAGGTAATACACATATTTTAGTTGAATGGGTTTTATCCAGATTGGTTTCATTTGTAATTAGTATTCGTAACAGATTTGTCTCAGTTACGGTCAGTCAATCAGTCAGCTACAATGTAGGACCAGGCACACATATACATCGGTCCAAGTTGCCATACCTCATTAGCACAACAAGATGAACACCGAATTCATAGTAGTTAATTTAGTGGTTGTAATATATAAAAGAAAGGTTGTATATAGGGATATAGTACAGGAAGAAAGTTATATATGAAGCAATTTTAATCTCAAGGTTTAAGGTAAGATAAAGAGTGTGTACACCTACGCCATTGTGGTCGATTCTGAGCCATGTCACCCAGAGTCTCCAACCATTGATTACGATAGTCACGCGGACCCCAACCAAGTAGTCTGCATCTACCAACAAGGCTCAGACTAGAAGTTAATGACTTCAAGCACTGATGCCACGTTTTGGTTTGGCCGCCCCTAACTTTCTTCCAGCCATCCGCTATACTAGTCAGCATTGCGCGTTGTGGTAATCGGTGTTCAGGCATACGTAATACATGGCCTAACCATCTCAGTCGATGAAGATTCATGACCTCATCAACTGATTTACCATCATACCCTAATACCCCGTGTCTAACCTCACCATTATTTACCCGGTGATCCCATCAGATGCTTGGAATATTTCTAAGGCATCTGTGATCAAATACTAGTAACTTGCGAGTATTTTCTACTCTTAATGGCCACGTTTCGCAGCCGTAAACTAGAACAGAGCGAACTGCTGCGCAGTATACTCGTCGCTTAATTGATAGACGGATATCTCGTCTTCGCCATAAGTGACGTAAGTTGAAGATTCATGAACTACACTGATGATCATCAAATAGTAATTATAGGTCAGAAGGGGTTTTGTAGAGATTTCGGTATTTTCATAGTTGAAATCATGAGTCAGTTGAAACTAGACCACTATGGAAAACCTGGAAGCACTGGACGGCCGTGGATGCGCACTGCTGAGGAGTCCCACAATAGGACGGAACAGCCGTCCAGTGCTTCCAGGTGGTCTAACTTCTATTGAATCATGATTTTGACTATGTAAGATAGTAATTAGTTTGTTTAATAATAATGTACAAAATATAAATAATTTCAATCATTAAACTTTTAATGTAATACAATTACAATTATTATTATGTAATAAACAAGTTAAATAATAAATATAAAATGTGCATAATTTAAGTATTTGTAATTTTGATAAACGTCAGAGGAAGATAAATCATCATCTATAAAGGTGCTAACTGAGTGCTATGGCAGATCTTGATTGTTTCAGGTAACGAAAGAGATGTGATCAAATTCATGGTCCCATTATAGCTGACGCAAGACATCAATGTATTATTGAAGCTAGAAATCTTGTGGAAAAGATGGACAGTGAAATTAACATCTTTCATAAGTGTGTTAGAGATCTGCGTTCGGTGCTATTCCCTGAACTTGAATCTCTGGTACTAATCTTCAAAATTATTTGAAATTTGTTGTAGTCTTTTTCAAATATTTTGCTTTGATATCTACTTTGCTGTTGTTCTCTTCTGTTAACTTTTAAAGCAGAATCAGATATGAATTTAGTATAACAGTTGTTATACAATTCTTAGACTAGTATCTGTGATTCAGCTGAAAAACATATGAAGTTTGGGGAACCAATAAGATTTTAAATGTATATCCAATTATTGTCCAAGTGTGGTTTGGTAATCTTTTTCTGAATTAAAACGTGATATTAAACTGAGGTAGATGTTAAGGCTGTTAATCTTCATCGAATGTAATGGTTGGGACATGTGTTTTGCTTATATAAAACCGTACCCTACCTCAACGGGCGATGTTGGCTAGTGTAGGAATAAATTTGAATAAATCTAAGGGAGGTCAAACAGAAACATGATATCAGTTCATCAAGTCATTGACTGTGGGTCTGAGCTCTGTCGATAAATGCAGATTACCTAGTTGTGAACTACTACATAACTATTATCAGTGGTTGGAGACATTACACGGGTTACCCAGAATCAGTCACATTGAAGAAGACTCATTAACTCTTCGTATTCTTCTAGATCTTGAGTTCCTGTAGTCCTAGATACATATATCTTCATTTTATCTTTTCAAACCATGTAGTAAATTTCATTTTCTTCGTTATCATTCCTACTACATGTTATGATTTAAAAAAAAACAAAAAGGGTCGTATGCCGATTTGCTACGATTTTATGTTCGGTTTTTCATCACGTCAATTATCCGCCAATCGAAATACGACTTCTCTAATCTTAACACTGCCAAATCAATGACGTTCAACTGGTATGAGCAGTCTAGCGTCTTTATTGGTCCTTTGTCCGCCTAGCCATTCCAATTGAGTCCAGAACACCAATTACAGCTTCTGCTATGTGAATCATTTATTTCAAACATAGTCGATTTATATACCAGACAGACAGACCGCATCGCACCATAAAATAAAAAATAATATTTGTACAAGATCAAGCCAAATGTGTCTGTGAACGTGGGATACAACAATCAATAAACCGAATATAATTTAGGGACAGTAAATCGTATAATAATAATAATCCATAGGTCAAAATGAAGCTTATAATAAAAGGAATATGGATATACACAGTCTAATTACTCAATAGTTAAATAATAAGAATATATGTAGAATAATAGTCCATTTATAGGTCCTGAGAGTTACCCGTACTTATGTTTTCACCAGGATATAACACTACATTATTTCAGTTCCTTTACTATTAATCTTTGTAATTTCATCTCGTCGTGATAATGTATAGTATGATAACTCGAACCAACCCACATTTGTGGCAAGATCTACAATAATTATTACTGATTGAATACATTTTTTAGTCTACTGTTATGATGGGAAGAGTATTGGGAAAGGTGGATCTTTTGGAATTAGTTTTCGGACTATTATTGTCTAGGAGATTGATGTATTGTCACATTTCTATATTCCTCGTATTGTAAGATTTTAGCTTATTAACTGTTGCTATACGTGTTACTATACTTTAGCTATCGCTAATTAGTCATGCATTGTTTGTTTCACCCTCTACCACTTACAGTATATTTGTATTTAAAGTATAATTTTGTATTTAGTGTGCTGTGTGGTCAGTCATTGTTTACATTTTGAGTTATAACTGAATTGAGTACAATAGTGAACAAGTCTGCTGAATTATAAGGAGCTCGAGGACCATTAAGCGTTAAGATCCCAGCTGTTGTTCATTGACCAATGTGCCAATTGATAAATGAAAGGTTATTGGTCCTACTGTGAACTATTCGGTAGTTAGAATCCTGGTTGGGTAATTTCCCATGTTATATGGATTAGAATCTCAAACCATAACAAGTTGGCTATTATAAGACATAACTACTGTTTCTGTATATACAGTGAAGCATATGCTACTAATTTATGTCTAGTGTATTTTTGTACAAATATTATCTCTAGTTATTTTTTCAAATTAATTGTTTCCTTTATTTTGTGGAATATAAAAATATCCCTCACGAGTTTATGCTATTACATGTATTTATTTCTTGTCAATATCAAGGTATACGGCCGATCTTATCCATGGGGGGTTGTTGAATGTGACAATCTTGCACACAATGACTTTAAGGCATTAAAGCATTTACTAATGAGTGTTCATTTGCAGGTCAGTTAATCCGGTTTCTTTCCCTCTGATTATTGTTTAAACCTATACTGAGATTGATCAGAATAGGTCATATATAGACATATTTTTTTCCATTGGTGTTAGAAAGTTTGTTGAAAAGCATTTCACATAGAGAGAAGATTTAGGATGAAATTACTCTACTAATCATAAGCAGTTACAGATGCTACAACTAATTGTTTCCGTATATTAAATTATATCAGTGGATGTAAAAGATAGTTTAATAAGTATTTTGAAAATAAAGATTAAATTTAGCTTAATTCACCGTTTCCATAAAGGGTCAAATCCAAGTTTATTGCATCTGGGTTTATAGTTTAAGGAACTCTAATTCCCAAGAATGCAAAGTGTGAAATGCCTCCGTATGGATTTCATCCTTTGTTTATGTCAACACTTACAAGAATAAAAGTTAAGTTATAGAGGTTACGCAGTATGTAACCCAGAAGTCGTTAAGACGTGGAAATCTGTTTTGAGATTTGTTCTTTAAAGGACATAGTGGGAATACCCAAGTCCACTGATGTACGAAACTTCGATATCACCTTATCTTTTACATTAAAGTCTAGGATTGTAAAAATATACTGTGGTTATTTAGTTTTTTTCATGCAACCAAATTCATTGATAAATCTAAACGAAGCAAGAGTAACAAGGTATGGTAATCAGAAGTATTTGAATTGTAGTATAAACTAGTAATCCCAGGAATAACGCAATTTAATCAAGAAGTATCAGATGAGCCCGAACGAATGTATTGTATTTGGAATTCAAAATTACAACAATCATCGATACGAAGAAGTCATTGATTTATTTAAACATCACACAAGGATCTACAGAATAAATTCAATTTATCATTCTATTTCACGGCTTTTCATCAGCTCCATACAGCCTTAAATTACAATTATCGATATAATTATAAACAAATGTCTAACATACTTTAGTTTGTGAATTTTAGATAAATGTCCGAAATATAATCGAAATCATAATAATAAGAAGAGTAGGGATACAAAGTGTATGAATAAACATGGTTAACATTAATGTGTAATAATACAGAGGAGAACAAGTGTTATTATTGCTAGTAATGATTATCAGGATAAAAGAGATTGCGGTAATGATAATAAAATTGATAATTGATTGTATAATCACTCAACATGATAAGGTATTAATATGTGAACATCAATGAGGCTATGTAAGTGATAGATGTTAAAAGACATAGATAGAAGAAGTTTAAAGAGCTTTTATGTTAGTAGATAGAACTCTTTCTAGATGACTAATGGGTTAAAGGATTCCAACCCATTTTTTTAAAAAGGGAAAGGCAATTTATTAAAATTTTGCATACTTTTTAAAATCACATTAACTCCTTACAATTTATGATTCATATCTATGGTTTCTGAAGGAAAAAAACGTTCGAAACGAACAGATGTATTGCAATAAATATACATATACATATTACCAATGTATTATTATAGCAATGAATACTTTTATAACCTCTTGGTCATTTAATGAATATGTATAATGTTTGTTCATAAAGTTATGAAAAGGATTTATATTACGGAATTAAGTAGATTGCCTCCAAGGCTATTTTGGTATTGATACCCGGAATAATTGTTCTCAATCCTTGCTATCTAATACTCTTATTTTATTTATTCTGCATGTAACAGAATCAAGCATTATTCAGTGCACATGAAGTTTAGCGGGCTTTTAATAAAATTGAAATGTATTTTCCGCAACTAATTCTATTCACAAGTGGTTTTCGTCCATTCGTTGTGTTAGATTATTGTCCGATTCTGTGACCAATATGCACTCTTCTTATTTGTGAGCATTCTTCGAATAATTGAACTCCATCCGAACCAGCGGTGTTTATCCATCAACAACTCACCTATCATTTGACCTTAATCTAGCATGTGCGCAAGGCATGTGATGTAAGCAGATTGGTAGAGATTATCACGATCGGAGTACCATTGAAAACTAAGGAGGTTTCTTGCATTCTAATATCTTACTTTTCAACAGTGGATTCAACACGCCATTCAATTCTTTGAGATTTCCTGGAGTGCACATAACAATTGTTCTCATTCCATGAAAGCAAACACTTGCAAACTAAACCAGTTTTCACAAGATTTCTCGGTTATATTGTTATTTACATTTTTTCCGTTTTTCCTTTTATACAAAACATTGTTTAGGATTTAATCGATGTGACACATCATGTACACTATACAAATTATTTCTCATCACGTTTAACAAGTATTGCTGAAGCAAGTAAATTTTTAGCCACAGAAGATAGTCGTGAACCTTTGAGTCAATTGGAAACGGAACGTTTAGCGCATCAGCGTAAATTGGCTAAATTAGAGTCTGAAATGGAGAATGTTTTTGAACAAAAGGCAAGGTTTTTTTTACCCTATTTATTTGTAATATTTTTCATTATGATTACAGTTCTCAGTATTGATATATATATATATATATATACGCCTGTTACCTCTCGTGGAGGAGCATAGGCCGCCCTCCAGCACACTTTGTTCTGGGCAATCCTTTCCAGTTTTTATTCATCCTTTTCATATCTGCTTCTGTTTCCCGGCGTAATTTGTTCTTTGTCCTTCCTCTTTTCCGCTTCCATTCACAATTCCAAGTTAGGGCTTGCCCCGTGATGCAGTCGGATGATTTCCGCAATGTATGTCCTATCCACTTCCAACGTCTTTTCCTAATTTCCCTTTCAACTGGAAGCTGGTTTTTCCTCTCCCACAGCAGGGTGTTGCTGATAGCATCTGGCCAGGGAATGTTGAGTATTTTGCTGAGACAACTGTTTATAAATACTTGTGCCTTCTTGACAATGGATGTAGTAGTTCTCCATGTTCCATCTCCGTACAGTAGGACTGTCTTGACGTTCGTATTGAAGATTCTTACTTTGAAATTAGTTGACAGTTGTTTTGAGTTCCATATATATATCGTTTAAACAAACACACATTAGTACACGGGGACAACACAATAACAATGTGGTTGTGAAGAGATAGCGAATGTAAGGTGTGTATGATAAGAAGAAGAACAACAATAAACAGAAATCAGTGTATGAGAGTGAAATAATACTCATGATAATGGGGAAAGCATTCCAGTTAGGAAATGTATTCTTTCAGTTGAAGAATTTACGTTCATTTTTATGGAGAAAGTAAGCGAAAGTTACAGCAGGATCGCCACTGGCTTTGTATCCTAAGCCATGTCTGATAGCGTCTCCTTTCATTTCTGATCATACCAGGGCATTTATGAGCTTTCTCTCATCCTCATTCCAATAAAGGAAAGTTATTCTATCCTTCTTTGTTTTGTAAAAAAATTGTTCATAATAGGTTCATGAACGTACAAATAAATTAATTGAAACAGAACGTGATCTTGTGGAACGTGCTGAACAATCAGAAAAACACATATTAATACAGTTAACTGAGTTTGAGAAACGTAGACAAGAATTTGAAGATGAACGTGCTATTTGGGAAGCAGAAAATCGGGAATCTTTAGAAGTAAGTCATATGAATCTATACAATTTTTAGTATATTAAACAAGGTTGGACAATGCCCAGTAATGAAATCCATGATGCGCGTTTTATCTTATTTGGAAGTATCTCCATCTGTGTTAATGGTCACACCAGAACACAGACTTAGTACCTCCCTCGTCCAATGCCAAACCTTTTATTCTCTTAGCTAATGAGTTCAGGTAACCACTAGCTTATGCAATGTAAATTTCACTACTATCCATCAGCTCACTCTGTCTAATATGTTTGTAACCTAATGACATCATCTAGCTAGTCTGCACAGAAAACAAATATACCAACAAAATAAGAGATTGATCGATTGCAATCTTTAACATGAACGAGAAAATCTAAATAAACCTCACAAATGAATTTATTTTTCATATATCATTAAAAGTACATTATTACAAATTTACATTATTATACTTTGATACTAATCACTATTTGTACACTGCTTATTAGTAGATAAAAACCTTTAGTCAACTTGTAGTCGAAAATTGAAAACATTTTTTATTTGAGAATCTCCAGGGAAAGAAAACACATTTTGAGCTGAAACTATTGAAGAATTACCAAAGATTGATAATCAGATCAAATTGATCAACTGTTGTATTCAGATATTCCATCTCAATAGTTACATAGACTTAAGGAATCTTATGTTCAGTCATTTAAAAACTAGAAAAAGAAAAAGGAACAAATGTTAAATACACTAATTAAAAAACTTTACTTCAGTTCCACTATCGTTTCCCTTAATTGTTTGTTATTTAGATGGTAACTAAGCAATATTTAGATATGTGCTAATTAACTTTAAGTGAACCCAAATACTATTAGCCGAAAATAGTGCTAAACACAATGATTTTAAGTCATACACAAAACACATACATTTCCTCAATGTCATGTATTAAGAAGAAATCCAGTCAAACAATAGGTCTATAGTCATATTTTTTTGTTTCTTGACCCTGAAGTTCAACATTAAATATCCCAGATCTAGTAGGCTCATGATGGCTAAAGAAAATTAGTGTGAGATTAACAGTTTTCAAAGACATTAAACGTAATAGTAACTGAATAATTCCAAACAACAAATTTTATCGTAATATGTAGAAATAACAACGTATCTGGGTATTTGTGATTCAACATTTTGAGCTGTTTCATTCCAGTTGACTCAAATTATTCTTCATTGATTTGATATTTCAAAGATTTTTTTAAAACTAGTATTGTAAAAATATGTTTAGGAATAAATTGAATTACTCAAACGACCAATTACTATTATTTTCATGTCTACTTACTCTGTTTTCATTCATTCCACTATTTATCAAAAATTGATGTTTAGGATTGGAATTAATCACTTTGTTTTAGCACATGTATATATTGTGCGAATTATCTCGATATTGCCATTAGGTCCCAAGCATTTTAAACAGAGATAAATAGTGGCTAGCATTGGGATCCAGGATGCGCGTTCTGTCCTATTTGTACGTGCCTGCATCCTAGAGTTGATGTTCGCTCCGGGATTCGAACCCAGTCCCGATTGCTTCAAAAGCCGTCTCGTTGTTACTAGAATTTTTCCCACTTTTTTCGTCGTATCATCGTCATCTGAAGTGGTAATAAAATGCCTAGATTTCCTGTATCATCTTCATGGTGGTTAGTTTTTGAATCAAACAATCATCGAGAGTATGAAGTTCGGTTGAAAGTTATTTACAAAACATTGCATTCACTTTTTGTCAGGATTATTGTTATCCGACCTCTTATTGTTTAGTATTCTTCGGATACTCTACTTTACTCGACTAGTCCTTAAAATCAAAACACAGCTTCGACTGGTGTGTGATTATATTCCAAATAAATCTAGTTGAATAGGAGTAAATGACAATAAGTAAAAAGTTAGTGTATTTATAATTTCACACGATAAATTTATAGAGTCTTCTCCAAATATCCCCTATCGCTGATTGGCCAAGAATGAGCCGATTTGTATGTTCTAATATAATCCTACCTGGAACATGCCTTAATTCAATCTATGCCCTTTAAACACTTTTTTATCGTGATTGCAAACTGCGTAGTTAAAGTTGATTTCATAACAGATAGTATCTTAATGACTGATTTCGCTAACGATCGTGATTTCAGTGAAAATATAAATGCAAAATCTGAGTTAGTGAGAATGTGATTCAAATTATCACATACGACTACTGTAATAAACTAAAGGTGGCCAATCGATGAAACGATATCAGTCTGTAATGCTACGTTGGTATATCCAGTTTATTTGGTTTGGGTCCATGTGATTAGTGGTGAATGTAGTCGTATACATTATTCAAAATTGATCATCATGACAAAGATTCATTAACAACTCTTTATCGTCTTTAAGATCTTGAGTTCCACTATTCTTGCATATATACCTTTTCATTCTGTTTTTTCGAACCATATTGTAGATTTTCAATTATTTACATTATCATTCCTACTTTGTTATTTCGAGTCCTTTCCTATTCATCTTGTTATTTTCATCTTGTGCTAATATTATGGTATGGTAACTTGACTTAATGCACTTCTTTGTTTTGCTCTACGTTAATTACTACTATCCATGACTGATATATGTGTCTATGATCCTCTATTTTAATATTCGATTATTTAATATACTACTCTTTAAGCAGTACTAGTTGATTTTTTCATTCTACAATATATTTATATAACGGAAAATGAACACAGTATATGAAAATTCAATGCATTTCATTAAATAAACTAAGTGTATTAGTCATTATAAATGTGTTATATACTTTACCTATCTACCTACCTACCAGTCTCCCTATATTTACATGTACAATATATCGATCATAGCACAGTGAAGAAGAGCTTGGCGTCAGTTATTGAATATATATATAAATTGGATTTCGTCCATTTCAGTAATATGATTGTTATTGTTCTGTTTATAGAATTTCAGTTTATCTTCTTTGAATAATTTTTATTTATCTATTTATTATTATTCTTTATGCAAATTATTTCATCACATTCAAACCTACTTAGATTGTGCAAAATGTTTGTAAACTACTAAAGTTATTATTTTGACTGTTTGCTTTTATTGATTACTATTCGAAAAGAATGGTACTATTACTACTACTAGTAGTAGCAATAGTAGTTAGTAGTTTGTTAATGATGGTTATGATAACCACCTGTATTAATGTATGGTGATTGACTGTGTTCAACTGTTGAGTTTTATTAATGACTGTTTGTTCAATTGATCTACCTTTACATTCTACTGTGACCTCTTCATGTTTTGTTTTCTGGATAAGTTCAGTTTTTTCCTCATAAAAGTCTTTCAAATATCTATTACGAAGATGTAGGACAAAGAATAATGTTCATAGGTTTAATCACGAGCTAAACTCCCATTAAAAACCATGACACACTGGATATCTGTTTCATCCTAGTATATGACTCCTCAGTGTGGTGTGGTCTACTTATATCCATAAAAGTAGTGTATGGTGAGGGTCTGACATAGAATGTATTTCGGCAGAAGATCGTTAAGGAACGAACAGAAATGAAGCGCAACCGGGACGAAAATGCATAAACAATGAAATCAGAGAAGAAGGATTGATATTTGCAGAAGGAACATTTAAGATTGAGACAATTGATTGTTAATTTGCAAATTAACTGTTTACTGTATGGTTATCAGAATTTAGTGAGATAGTCTGTAATTTGTGCTTAGATACATTCGATTGTCCCTAGTCGTGTTTTGTTCACTACACTCAGTAATGTACGTCTACGACGTCACCATAGAATATTGAGTACAGCACCAACAGGTCTCGCTTGTGAACACTTAACATATAGACCACAGAGCCGGCGTCCAATGCTTTACATTTCTAACTTCGCTCAATTCACGTTATTACTCGACCATCTTCCATTAGTTGCAATGAATTACTGTCTCACACCTAGCATGATTAAACTCCACTGTTCAGCAATTATCGATAGAAATCCAAAAGTTGCATTTTGAAGCTAATCGCTAGTGAGCACACAGTTATTATTAATTTGAGGGACTTGCGGAGATTTCGAAATGTCCATCTTTGGCACGATCGTCCAAGTACATTACTAAGGAGTTAAAAACTAGGGCAAAATAGCTTCCCAATGCTTCTTGGTTTTAGGTGGTAGTGTTTCTAAATCAGTTTGTGATTTATGACACTAACATCCTACAATCTCTACAAATCTTCCCTCGCTTATTCTAAAGAAAGCACTAGTTAATTTTATACCACCTATTTTGTGAATAATGGAAGTACTAGTTATAAGTTTGTCAAATTTGTTGATTTTTAAGTCTTGTTCAAATTTTATAAAATAGGTAAATGAATAATGACTATCAGTGGAATCTGGTACACGCGTTTCGCCCTATTTAGAATTCCAATTAGATGTACAGACATCTCACTGTTTATATTGACATTTAATTTTGAACTCGTTACTTTTTGCTTCCAACACCAAAGTGTTGTCCACCCAGCTAATTATTGAAGACAAACACTAATTTATTCAACAGATATGATGTTTATATCACTGTTAATAATAGTTTGAATTATTCTATTGTTGTTATTGAGTAAATTCAAACAATCATTGATAATATTTTAAGTCGTATTCTAGTCGTGTTTGTTTCAGTCAGTTAACTGACTGAAGTGACTGTTTAAATCTTTATAAATACACTAAAGATATTATATTTTGCTGATGAATTCCTTCTTTATTCTTCTGTCAAGTTTTGAAGTTCAATTCAATTTCTCAAAATCATGTTTTCTTTATGAACTATATATAAATTATCTCTGTATTCCGAATTTAATGGAAGCGTTAAATCATCTGTATAACTATGGTCGGTTTTCAGATTCCTAAATTTAACTCCTACATATCCGAGTTGAGATGGTTGTATCATCCAAACTTGACTTAGATGAATGGTTAATAACTTCACGAACAAATGAAATGCCTTTGTCTGACCATTAATAGCCTTTTTCCGATAAGCCCATAAACTTGATAGAGTAAAATCTAGCTGTACCATATCCTAACAACACCTTAATTGTTGAAAAGCAACTGGGTAAAAAAATTTTCCTGAAATAACTAAGATACATGTATATGTAAACAATTTTTACAGAAAAATCATGCGACCAATCTAACTAGCTCAACCTTAGCATTTTTGACTTATTGACTAGATGGTATTCATTCTATTATCTTACTTACTTACTTACTTACGCCTGTTACCCCATGTGGAGGAGCATAGGCCGCTCACCAGCATTCTCCATCCAACTCTGTCCTGAGCCTTCCTTTCCAGTTCTTTCCAGTTACTATTCAGCCTTTTCATATCGGCTTCTATTTCCCGGCGTAGTGTGTTCTTTGGCCTTCCTCTTTTCCGCTTCCCTTCCGGATTCCAAGTTAGGGATTGAGTCGTGATGCACATTGGTGATTTCCTTAATGTATGTCCGATCCACTTCCAACGTCTTTTCCTTATTTCCTCTTCAGCTGGAAGCTGGTTTGTCCTCTCCCATAAAACGCTGTTGCTGATAGTATCCGGCCATTGGATGTTGAGTATTTTGCGTAGACAATTGTTTATAAATACTTGTACCTTCCTGATGATGGCCGTAGTAGTTCTCCACGTTTCAGCTCCTTACAGTAGGACTGTCTTGACGTTCGTATTAAAGATTCTGACCTTGAAATTGGTTGAGAGTTGTTTTGAGTTCCATATGTTCTTCAATTGTAGAAATGCTGCCCTTGCTTTGCCAATCCTCGCCTTTACATCTGCATCCGATCCTCCTTGTTTATCAACGATGCTCCCCAGGTACTTGAATGTTTCCACCTCTTCCAGAGTTTCGCCGTCAAGTGTGATTGGGTTGGTGTTCTCCGTGTTGCATTTGAGAATCTTGCTTTTTCCTTTGTGAATGTGAAGGCCTATGGATGCGGAGGCTGCTGCTACATTTGCTGTCTTCATCTGCATTTGGTCGTGTGTATGAGAGAGGAGGGCTAGGTCATCTGCGAAGTCCAAATCATCTAATTGATTCTGAGAAGTCCATTGTATTCCGTATTCCATTGTATTCTATTATCTAGTGGAGTTTATATTTCTTCGAAACTACTGGATACCAATAGTATGTATGTTTATGTCTATATTTTCGTATTAGTTGACTGGCGAACATGTAACAATTACACTGGATCTTAATCTTTACTTTTTTGTCCATACTATTAATAGTATAATAATTGCAATCCATTGACCAATTACCTTAAATATTTTGATATATCTTTTTCCTCCCTATGAAGTAATCACTGAGCTGAACTTTTCTTGTAACGACATATTCCTCGTTAATATTCAAACAATGAGAACTATGTATATGATATACTAACCAGTCATTTCAGTAGTATTGTAGTGAACAGAACACTGGTTGGGGACAATCGAATGTATTTAAGCAAACATTACAGACTATCTCAGTAAATTCTGATAACCAAACAATGAACAGTCAATTTGCAAATTAACAACCAATTGTTTCAATCTGTACTGTTTCTTCTCTTATTCCATTGCTCATGCATTTTCCAGACGTTTGCGTTTCATTTCAGTTCTTTCCTCATCGGTCTTCTGCGAAAATACATTCTATGTCTGACCCACACCATATACTACTTATATGGATATAAGTAGACCACACCACACTCGTCCCCCCTTTAAAGCATTCGACCATGCGGTGGTTCTGATCACAACGCCACTATCTTCTTTCACTGCAGTCTGTGCCAAACACTCCGTCAGAATGTCGAGTCTGCGGCGCGCTGACCTCCATAGCTCCGTCGACCTGCCGGGGCACCAACATCCGCATCCACCCGGCACCTGGGACGTTCAACACCCGTACTCCACCGGCCTGCTGAGCCATCTACATCCGACGTCCACCCAGCAGCCGCGCGTCCCACTGCTCCTCTCCGTCGGCAGCACCCGCTACAGCCAACGCCGCCTCGCCAGAACACTCCACTCGACGCCACCTCTCCGCACCAGACTGCCCCAACTAGCACCTCAACTCCAGACTCGCAGCGGCGTCCGCAGAACAGCACCCTTCCTCCTCCTGGATGGCAGCGACACCAAATGTAGTGAACAGAACACTGGTTGGGGACAATCGAATGTATTTAAGCAAACATTACAGACTATCTCAGTAAATTCTGATAACCAAACAATGAACAGTCAATTTGCAAATTAACAACCAATTGTTTCAATCTGTACTGTTTCTTCTCTTATTCCATTGCTCATGCATTTTCCAGACGTTTGCGTTTCATTTCAGTTCTTTCCTCATCGGTCTTCTGCGAAAATACATTCTATGTCTGACCCACACCATATACTACTTATATGGATATAAGTAGACCACACCACAGTATGACAAGTAATATCTTCATTATTGATTGAATTTTATCTATCTATTAAAGTGAGATATATCCAACCACTTCATTAAAAAAAATCAAGAAAGTGGATTTATGCACCAATTAATAATTGTAACGCGTTTATTGTTTTTCAAAAACGATATATTCTTTTGTACAATTCGACTCTATACAATCGGTACACAAAGTTGTATTCTAAAAAACGTAATCCTAAAGAATTGAGTTTGGACCAAGCTTATTCCCTACAAGACACTAACTATTTGTAGCAATACACTTCCTCTACTATGTGATTGTTTCTTTCTAAAAGTCTACAGAACATAAGTTCTTCAGCTTCTTCATTGTTTCACATTGTATCGTCTCCGTCTGACCATTCTGTCTTTCAGGAAGAAAAAGAAATCGCAATCGATAAGGACTAATTTTTAATAATGAGGGCTATCTGGTACAGTGATTAAATTTTGGGACAAAAACTTATGGAAAATTACTTCTGAATATTCAGGCTTTCATTGTCATGTATTTATAGACAAAATATGTACTGTTAAAGAGATTACAACTTTCAACGATTAGTAATTATTTAAAGACAAACAGACAGACCACTTGTGTCCAACTGACTAAAAGTGTTATGTGGTTGGTGCGGGTATAATTACTAACAGATGCGTAGTTTCTTTATTTTTAACCATTAGAGACAATACCTTGTGGCTCAGCTCGTGTATTTATTCGACAGACTTACTTATTCTTGTTGTCTCTCATATAGGAGCATAGGCCGCTCACTAGCCCTCTTCACTGAACTCTGTTCTGGACAATCCTTTCCAGCTCTTTCCACTTACTATTCATTTTGATGTCTGCTTCCGATTCCCGGCGCTATGTGTTACTTAGTCTTCCTCTTTTCTCTTCAAGATTCCAAGTTAGCGTTTGGCTCGTGATGCAGTTTGGTGATTTCCGAAATGTGTGTCCTAAGCAATTTCAACGTCTTTTCCTAATTTCCTGTTCAACTGGAAGCTGGTTTATTCTCTCCCACAGTAGGGTGCTGGTGATGCTATCCAGCCAACGGACGTTAAGTATCTTGTGTAGACAGCTGTTTATAAATACTTGCACCTTTTTGAT